TTAGTTCTGTCTTTTCCGTCTTCTCCGTCCTCTAAACCAAAAAACAAAAAAAACAAAAAAAATGATTTAGTAAATAATGTCGATAAAGAGTCTTTGCTTTGGTCAAATACAGTTATTAAATCATTGCTTTCTTACTTATCTGATAATATGTCACTTTACCGAATGAATAAGCAAAAATTTTATTTCAAAGCCACTTTATATCTTGGTAATGGTAAAACGGGAGATCAGGTTCGTAATAAGATCAGCTCACTTATCAACAGATATATGGAAGAAAGCTCGAACAAAACTGGCAAAGGTGCATCTAATTGGCTTTTTTATACTGAAATGAATGATATATTTGGAAATCGTGAAAATGTAAATCCAGACTATTTGGTTAATAGCACGGGTCAGGTAAATATTGAAATCAGACCTTGAATATAAATTACAATTAGAATTGAAAACTAGAGAACTTGAACTTAAGTTTAAAAATTAGGCAAAGTTAGAAAATAAATTGTAAAATATTATTACATTATGGTCGTTCTCAAGCGCCTCAATCAATAGGTCAAAAAGTGTTTAGGTATAAATTTTATTTAGCAGAAAATCTATAAAATTGGTTAAACATGCTTATCATTACAATTAATATACGTAAATTGATAAAGTTTATTATGTAAATAAAGTATTCATATTATTAAAACACGTTAAATGAGTTTTTCATTTCAATAACCAAACTTTTTACAACAAACCTGACTTAGAAAATTTTACAATCAATCGAGTATTCAAAGAGATCGATCGCTCAAGCAACTTCGCTATGGATCTTCATTTTCGACATCAATAAATTATTATTTTACTTCTTGCATTAAAAATTTTTATGAAAAATAAAAAAAAATCGGGAAGCCCAAAAAACGATTATGGATACTTATCATCTTTTAGCTTTCGCTCAAATGGCAGCAAATTCAAATATTCCATCAATAATGGGACTGCTCAAGTATTGACTACAATGTTTATTTTGATTATTGTAATAAATAAGCATTAGTAGAAACTGATGCTTGTGAAGACTTCAATTATGTCTCAAATTATATATTCGAATTTTCGACAAAAATTTTATGTAAATATAGTTATGCTTGAGCACCATTACGATTACTTGCTAATCACATTGAGATTGATGTTTGAGAGTGACCTATATGTATTACTTATTTGAGGAAATAGAAATTATAACAGAGGTTACCAACGATCATAGCACATCTTGCTATGACCGTCAGTAATCTGTTATAATTTCCTCCAGAAAATAAATGAATAATCCCCATGAACGTGTTACTAGATGTTAATCGGACTACCATACCATTATTTTTACATGTGATTCCATATTTATATTCGTAGTGTTTTACTGACTTTGAACTTCGCTTTACTTTTCTTTATTTCACATAAAAAAAGTAACAATAAAAAAGAATGAAACCAAACAAGCAGAAGCTAGAATCAAAAAATCCAATATTAATATTATTATTATCTTACTTTTCTTATCGCTTTTACCTTTTACTTCTGCTGCGTTTAACTTTTTTTCAAGCTCTTTTACTTTCATTTATTGCTTGCTATGTCTTTTTTAGTTTCGCTTAATGTGTTTAATAATCTTGGCTCTTAAGAATTTGTATAAAGCGTGAAACATACAGACCACCTGATTTAACTAAAAATTAAATGAAAAAAATTCCTGACGACAATATGAGACTGAGAATCTTCCATGGGAAATTTCCTGGTCACAATATGATTATAAATATGGTTAATAATGTGTAAAATATAATATTGAAGGTAGTCATGCAATGGGACAAAAAGCATCAGAGAATAAATTTTACTTAGCGGAAAATATTTTAAAGAAGTCAAATGTGTTTAACATCATAATGAATATTTAAATAAATTTCATAATTTAATAAAGTTTATTATATTTTTATTTAATCAAAAGATAGTACGCGAGTTTATCATTTCAATTTAAAATTTTATGGCAGACCACCTTTTTTTTATCCCTGGCTTGGCAAAATTTACAATTAATTGCGTTTTCAAAGAGATTGCACAAGCAACTTTATTAGTAACCTTAATCATGCAACGATGAAATAACGGCACGGCATTTGATAAAATATTAGTGTACCGCTCAAGCATCAATTGCAATTTTGATTATAGTAAATGAGCATCGTCACGTTTATTAGCTAATCGCATAGAGAATAATGTTTGAGCAACTTTGATTACTTCTTAATTGCTTATTCATTTCATAATAATTATAGTTGTGCACGATTAAGATCGCAAGTCAATCACATCGAGGTTGAAGCTTGAGAACACCCTTAGTACAATAGGGGATTAGGTTCGTAAACTCAAACACCTAATTCTTTATTATAAAAAATTACATATTCATATAAATATATTCTAATAGGTTTTGCCGTTTGGTTATTGCATTATTTCTATTTATTAAATCTTCATCTTCATCTAATTTATAAATTAATTCAAAATCATCAATTTCATTATCGTTATCATTTTCTTCCCACGTATCATTATTTTTTTCTACAAAATTATGTAAAATAAAAGAAATATCAATTATATCCGTTCCTTTCATTGTATCCTTTAATTTCATACATTTTAAAAAAGAAAATCTAGCTTTTAATCTACCAAATGCTTGCTCAATAACAACTCTCGTTTTACTATGAACAGTATTATAATATTTTTGTTTTTGTGTATCTGGACCTTGTGGATCCTTAAAAGGTGTTATTATCCATGTTAATAAAGAATATGCAGAATCGCCCAATAAATAATCTTCATTTTTACAAAAAAGATTATTATTTCTATATAAATATGAGTATTTAAATACTTTTGCATTGTGAACTGAAGCAGGCCAACCTATTTCATAACAAGTAAAATACCCCTTATGATCAACGATAGCTTGTAGATGAATACTATATCGATGTTTACGAGACATATATAAGTCTTTATTAATTTTACTTGGCGCTTCCATTAATGGTATATGAGAACCGTCAATTGCTCCAATTACCATTGGAAATCCAAATCTTTCAAATCCTTTATGTACTTCATTTCTATAATCTTCTTGAGGCCAAACTATATATTCATCTTTTAAAGAACGTAT